ATTGCACTGTTTGTCTTCAATGTCACTTCTGCAGCAATACATACAATGAACATGTGACAAATACTAGATTGCTCTATGTAGCATGCTGAGGCTCATCTGCAAGTAAGGTAATCAACAAATGAAGAGATGAATTAAGATGAAGTTAAAAAATCACTAAAAAGGTTTTAAAAATTAATGGAGTTAAAGGTTTGATATATATTTGTATATAGTCATCCTGAGAAGACACATTGGACATGGTTTTATAGTCTTAGATCATAAAGTCAGAGAGGCAAGTGTTAAAACATGAAGGAGGTAATGGCTGGGTTCCTGTCCAGGAAGGCAGGCTGGCAGGAGGTGACTCCTCTGCCCATCGACTGCACAACGTGCTCACAGAGGAAAATCACCCGTAGAATTTTAGAATAGAAATTTTAATAGAAATTCAGCCCAGCAGACTGTCACTGCCATCATGGATTAAATCTTCCAATCATTGGGCTAATGTAGCGCTCAAAAAACATTCAAACATATGACTGTTTGTGGGGAAAGTTGGTTTAAAAACGGAGAGAAATTAGCAATGTTCCCTGCCAAGGCACTGATAAATAGGTTCTGTAGCAATGGCAATGGTGAGGGAGAGAGAAAATCATTAGCAGGTATCGTTTTCTTATTACTGTGCTTCTCATTTAGCTTGCATGCTCTGAATTCATGCTACGATTTGGGAGCAATACCACAACAGCAGTATTTCAGCTGGTCTAGTAAAGAAAGATCTTTTCTAAATGGATACTTTGCTCACTTACCCAACACACTTGGGTGACTAGGACCTCCCTGCAGACTGTTTGAAAGGACAAGAGTGCTTTTTTTCTGCTAATATAGAAAAGATGGGCCTTTCTGCAAGCTGAATGGAATGTTCCTGTGCCTCCTCTTCTGTGCTTCTAACTGGGAGACAAAGCTGCCCAGTGGCCTTCCAGGCAGAGTGACCTCAGAGTGACTGGAGTTTGCAGCATCCTTCCTCGATTACTTTTGGCTTTCATTCCATTTCTCATGTTATAAGAAAGGGAGAAGCAGACCCAATAAAGAAGCATAGTTCCATTTCATAAAGTAATACCATTCTTTTTCCTGATATACTATCTAACATATTATCCCTCAAAAAATATTAAGCATTAAGACACTACAAACAATGTCAGAATCACTCTGCCTAAATTCTACAGTATGTGTCTGGATTTAGATACCTAAACCATATCTAAGTGGCAGAGAGCAACCCAGCCATAGAATCACAGAATAGTAGGGGTTGGAAGGGACCTCTGTGGGTCATCTAGTCCAACCCCCCTGCCGAAGCAGGCTGCCTAGAATGGCTTCACAGCACATCATCCAGGTGGGTCTTGAATACGTCCAGAGAAGGAGACTCCACAACCCCTCTGGGCAGCCTGTTCCAGGGCTCCGTCACCCTCAGAGGGAAGAAGTTCTTCCTCATGTTCAGACGGAACTTCCTGTGCCTCAGTTTGTGCCCATTGCCCCTTGTCCTGTCACTGGGCACCACTGAAAAGAGCTCTCCCCAGAGCTGCGTAGCTCTAGAGACAAAACATCTTCACTGATCTGGAAAAGTCTCCTGAGCATTATCAGATTTGTCCTGGTGTGCTCAAAGGTATTGTTCTGAGGGATGCAAGCTTGACTTGCAATCTAGTGAAGACAAGTGCTAAAATGTGGGAGGTCTTTGGTTCTCAGATATCCTTGGTAAGAAGAGGAGTGAATCTGTATCACTTTCTTGTTTCCTCTACCCCCAGAACACAAGGTATCTTACGTGAGACCACTCACTACCACTTCTTCACAACCAAGAATGAGAGAGATTAAGACAGAAGAGCAAAATCATAACTACACTGTACCTTACATATGTCTCACTGATTTGAGCTTCAACTGTTAAGTGCTCAGGACATCTGCAAATCAGGCCTTACAAATGGCGCCCATTACAGAATCAGTGTACAGAGTCTGCACTCACTGGTGAAAATCCTGGTTTAAGTGGGCTAAACTGTCCAATTAAGCAGGAGCTCGGATGCCATGGTATTTCTGTACCCTTCCGGGTTTTGTTCTCTGCTAAGCACTCGGGGCCCCTTCTAGGCACGCTGTACTGGAAGCTGCTAAAACTTTCCTCTTGCTGTCGGCGAATTTCCCTGTGGAAGAGCTCAAACATTTAGCCTCCTCTAAGTTCAGATATCTCAATACACATACCTTGCTTGGTTGTACTGCTCTAAGGCAACAAAAAGATGCATCCCAAAGGTCCAGCAGTATACTGAACTGGTCGAGTCCACCAGGTGCCAAGCACGTCAGGTAGCCTAGCCTAAGAGATTCAGCCTCCAGCAAGCTGCCAGTGTGTTCATGGCTCTGCTGACTGTGCTTAAAAGAACAGTTAAACCATAGATTTCAATTAAAAACAAATAAATTAAAAAAAAGGCGATCTAGCCAAACTGCTGAACTGGACCACAAATGTGATTAGCACTGTATGACTGGAAAAGCTGTGGGACTTACAGTATCTCAGTATTCTAGGCTGAGTTTTACTGGATCAGAGGGAACATTTTTCATCTATGAAAAAATAAACTTGGTTTAATTATCTTCCATTTACTCAGCTGCAATGATCTATGCACAGGTTTGAGGACATCAGGGGAATGTGAGTGCCCAGTTCTCACAGCTGTCGCTAACTGGGCATTCCCTTGCTTCATGAGACTTGGCATGTTTCATTAAGTAAGGAAGATCGCCGTCTGCACTACCTGGCATTTTAGCTTTCCTGAAACACGGCTGCTCTGCTTCACTGTGCAGTTTCCCTGGCCCTCAGGCAGATCTTACGGTGCAACAACTTTGAAATAAGCAGAAAGTAAAAAACAGAACCTTCTCAAACACAGCATAAGCATGGAGAATACAAAGGAAATTCTGAGCTTGACTTCATCTCAGTTTTGTGCCACCACGACTCCGCTCATTTCAAGAGAGTTCTGATTTCCACTGGGCAGAGGGAAGAAAGTCAACCAGCTTCCCACAAAAGAATATTTAGAAAAAGGTCTTGCAGTTCTTACAGCAGCTCATCACGTAACTTTGCATAGCAAATTACACTAGATGAGGCCCTAGCTACTGATCTACAGGGAAATGATGAATAGAACAATACTTACAGCACAGGTGGATGAAACTTCCAGACCAATTCTTATCTCATTTTGCATGGTAAAAAAAGCTCATGGTGCTTTACTATGGGGATCCAGTGCCTATGTTCTGGCCTTGCACCGGCCAGCTAGTAACATCCATCAAACGAAACAGCTAGTAAGGAGAATTATTGATTGTAAATGAGACCGCCATGCAATGGGCCGAAGCAGCTCCAGTGGTGATGAGAAACTATGCCTTTAGCTGACCTGTGAAAATTCAAGCAGGAAGACCATTATAAATGTTAATAGCTCCAGGATTCTTGACCCTTCTCCAGCTTCAGTGTAGACACAGCATCCTGTAGGAAACTTCTGATTTTCACAGGCTGTACGATCACAAGTACAGGCCACTCTCACCCTGCTGTAGGTCTCTGTGAGAAGGAACAGGAAGGGGCGGCTCTGTGCTCTGGGACAGAGGTGGATAAATTCCACTTCTTTTGATTCATGTCATGTTTCCAGTGGAGGAACTACCACACAGTCAGTCCGTAATGTTTCTGTCACTTTCCCAAACTCTTAACAGCAAGCCAACTACTATCATTACAGTCCTCATGATTTCACTGTATCATGCCGAAGTACTTGGGCCTCACACTCCCTCATTCTCTGAAATTTTACAATATTGTGACTCACCTGGTTTCAAGGGAGCTGCTTCTAAATTTAAGCAAATCAAGAGAGAATCAGATCTCCTTTGCACTAGCAAGCCTCCCAAAGGATTTACTGTGCTGTAAGCAACCACTCCATTCTCTGTTTACCTTGCAGGTAATAACAAGAATATTCTGTGGAGAATTCAAATACAGAAGAAACATACCAGGCAAGTCACTGAAGGAAATTTAAGGCTTACCTTTCTCTGTAAACATGTAATGCATTAGCAGATTAATTTCCCATTAGACAAATTAATGACATAGGATGCAGCATGCTACACAAGATGAACTGCGTATCAGATGCAGTAAAACTCTAACCACTTTTAAAATAGTCAAGTCAGAACCAAGCCACACTAGGGTAGTTCGTCACCACAGTGCTAGGTTTGAAGTGTAGCTTAAGTGCCAGGGCCTAATGCCTGCATTAAAGTTACCCTGGTAACCGAGGACTCCCGTTCAATCACCTGAAATTGTTCTCTCCACAGTGAAGAACTGTATGTTTATTACAGAGGTGGGTTTTGATAAAATGACCCAGAATACAGACACAGATACCTGAACCAGTGTATTTAAAATTGAAATTAAGAAAAAAAAAACAGAAACAAAAAGATCTTGATCCATGTCTTCAACATCAGCAGTGTGACAAGGAGCACAGCAACCAGAGATGCAGCAAAATTGTCATGATACTGATAATACAGAAATACTTACCACAGCATGATGATAAATCACAATATTGCTAACTACGCTGAGACAAACAGCATATATAGATGAACAAAATACAATGACATAGCTTTAGCATCATTATTTTTCTAAAGTGGCATAGTTATTTGGAAGGGCAATCTGAATCACATATAGTTCTAACCATTACATGAAATAAGGGACAACAGACAACTAAGCCTGCTCTTCTTCAAGATTCAATATACTCTGGATATATGAACATAACCATACAAGTCTTCAGGTTACATCAGGTCAACCAAAACAGTCAACAGATATAAGTAGTCTTGGGAAGAGTTTAGAAAACTAAAAGCCACATCAGGCCTGCAGCATATGCAGTCCTTAGCCGATGTAAAGTATACGGCCCTTAAAGAAAACATGTTCATTGGTATCAACAGAGCTCCAGGGTGATTATTTTTAAATGCTTCATGAACTACAGATACAATTGGTAGAAGGATGGAGATTAAGACGAACTGTACGCTAAGTAATTTAGAGGATATACATGTTATGTGCTTGGATTTTTCCTAACCTCTTCATCCCAGTCAAAATCTAATGTAGCATCATCTAGCTCTGCTATCGAGAAGAGAGGTCTCTGTGTGACCACACTGGCTTTACTAGCATTTCCCAATGCAAAACTCTTCCTTCTGCTAGGATTGCTCACGTGAACCTTCAGCAGTGGGCTATGTTTGTTAGTGTCAATCTCAATGGTAGGTGAGGTTTCCAATTTTGACTCATGACGTGATGCAAAGGAGAATGTCGACAGTTTGGCTAATGTGCTGGAGCGCACCTTCCCTGTGCTTGGGCCACCAAGCTTCTTCTCTCCCTCCATTTTCTTCTCAATGGGTGGAGATGACATGGCATCAAAACTGACATCAGAGTGTATTGTTGCACTTCTTGATCGTTTTTCCAAACTATTTTTTCCCAAGCGAGTCAACGTCATCTTGGATGTCTCAGGTGGGCAGCATTCTTCTGGCAGCTGCTTTCCCTGGAGCTGCTCTCCAGGCTTAAAAATAGTTTCACTCTGAAAAAGAGAAAATTCTTCATTTTTCACCTCTGAAGAATGATCAAGTTTTGTCCTTAGTCTGAAAGAAAATTTAGCTAGTTTAGCTGCTGGAGGACTTTCACTGTCAAGGATTTGTGGCTCATGGGAACTTACTACCTCTGTTTCCTTCACTACTTGACTTTTACTTCTTTTTCTCATGGAAATTGTTGCAGTTTTTGCTGGTACAGATATGCTGTTCTCTTCCTCCCCTAGCACAGAATCTGCATCACTTGAAAGATCTGCTGGGCCAGACACAGGTAATGCTGAAGGAAGGGCCTTTGCCTTGGGGTCCTGTGTACTTGTAAAGAATCCACGTGATTTCTCTGTGTGCAGTTTCTGCCAGCTTTTAGAAACGCGCTGTGTAACAACTGAATCCTGCACACTAGCACTTGGTGATGCTGGGTCTTGAGTATTTGCTTCTGAAGAAAAACAGTTGTGTTCTTCAGTCCTTTTCCTGCTTATCTTGGAAACTTTGCCCTGTTCCAAAGGAGCATGCAGATTCACAGTCGCTAGTGACTCCCTCATCCCATTTCCTTTCCTTGGTATTGAAGAATTTTTTTCTTCAGAACAGGATGTTTTAGACAGGGTTTTTGAAGCCAAGTTTTCTGGAGATATCTTGGGCACCGGAGATTTTTTCTGAAAAGCTTCTACAGCATCACTGTTGCTCTCTTCCAGGCTATCAAACCAAGCCAGGCTGCCATCATCACCTCTCTTACTATGTTTAATCAAGTGGTTTGTCGTTTTGTTATTACTGTGTGCCAGATTGCATAAGGGTTCTAGATGTGTATCCCCTTCACAGTTGCCTTCGGGCAAAGAAGGCTGTGGCCAGAAGTTAGTCTCTTGTTGATCTGAAGGTTCTGACTGAGACATTTGCTTTGACTGCCCAAATGTATCCTTGTCCAAGCATCTTGTAGTACTGAAAATTGTCTCTTCAGGCTGCGGCTGGCATGAATTCTCCTTCTGTAATCTATGGAATGAAAAAAAATTAAGTAATAGTAATTTATTTTTCATTTTTTTCTTTCTTTATTGCATTAATGATGCCTAATATGTATGAATGTGAAAAGCTACAAATAATGTAGGTCACGAAAGTGCATTATTAAGTTTCACTTATAGTTCTGAAGCTGGTGTTAGTCTGATCTTTCAGCGCCTTCTACAGTAAGTGGCAGAATTTAGTGTCCCCACTAGAAGACAGGCAGGTGGACAGAGAAAGCAACCACCTCAACTTCATTTCCTGGGGAAAACAAACCAAACAAAAACCGAAACAAACAGCTTTGCACTACTTACAGCCATTGCTAGAGTCCCTTGGGGATTACATATTCTGTAAGTGTATCTTCTAGAACAGGAAACTCATTAGATTTTACCCTGAGCAAGGCAAAGCCTCAAACGAGATATCAGAATGGAAAATCTAGGTATTACTTGGAACAGTGGTTGTTGTTGGTTTTCTCTTACCATCATTATGGACTCAACATGTCAAAAACTCCACATCATCGAGTGAAAGCATCTCAGATCACCTACAAAACTTAATTATCACTGTCTGTGGCTGTTAATATTCTCAGGCCCTCCAAAACAACAGAGGTGCTAGAATGAGGGTTCCCTCCAACCTCAGTATAGCTGCTACTCTGTCTATAGTACCTAAACATATCATTTCCAAGGGAGACAGAATTCTACTTTTTGCTAAATAGTGATTCTAACCATGAGTGAAGAGCAGCCACATTCTATCCCCAAAGTGACTGCATTAGCATAGGTGAAATGATTTCTATGTGTCATGAACAGTTCCTCTGCTGTATGAGAGAGAAAACACTATATTGACATGTACCTTTTAGAATAATTATTGTAATTATTCACTAGTATGCTTGTTCTTAAAATTTTTGACAGAAAGTAGCAGAAATTATCTGACTAATCAAGAAGGGCTGAAAGATACATGCTTGTTTTATTGAAATATAGTTCAGGGGGAACGCATGGGACAAGCCTGCTAACACAGAATAGGTCATTTTAAAGAGGACATTCATTTAGTATTCTCTAAGCTGCTTAAGAGGGGGAAGAAGAAATCAGCTTAATTTTCAGCATAGGGGCTTCAGTGATATACTGAGAAAATCTTTATGAGCATTAGGATGGAGCAACAATGAACAGACTACCCAATGGCAATGGAAAATTCACTTCATTAGAAGTCCTTCAGAGCGGGTAACACAAGCCCCTGCCAGGAAGGTCAAACACAGACCTGATCCTGTATTTGATCTCCCATCCCATCCTACATTTCTATTATCCCTTATGAACACCTCTGTTTTAAACTAACTTTTAAAAGTCTGTCTGTTGGAGATATCCCACTTTCATCTGCTCTTACTGCCTCTGTGGTTATTTAAGATGTCCTAGCTATGAGTTACGAAATAAGTCTGAAAAATATATAAAGGAAAAACTGTATTTTCCCAGCTGTTCTTATTCCATTAGCTTCGCTAACATTAATCTTTTATCTTCCTTTAACAATAAGAAAGTACGAGTTTCTTTGGAGCCTAATCTCGTTTCAGGAAACAAATGTTATTTTTTTGTATTTTATTTCCTTCCAATCCTAGTGTTTTTCTCTCAGCCTCAGCACATTAACAGCAAACAGACTTTCCAAAGATTGTTGCAGTGAGCTGAAAACTAGAGAACAGACAGTGAAAATTCCAGCACATAAAAAAGAAAAATCACCCAAAAGGGCAGAACTTTGATTCAGGCTTATATTTTCCATTAAAAGGAAGGGAAGGAACCTGACAACGCCAACACAAAAGAAGGCTTAAAAAATATTAGCAGATCTGCTGTATTTTACCAAGCAAGTAACAAAGGTTATATAAAATTATTTGTTCAGCTACAAAATCTGGCATTTTGACCCTAAGAAGCTCCGCTGAAACTTATCAGAGCACAGAATTGAGATATGAGTTGGGAACTAATCTTAAATTCTTTGTAAATTCCATAACCCAGAGGGAGAAATGACCTTGTAATGATCTCAGAGTGCTACTTTAAAACAATCTTCCTGCTTATCCACGCCCTCTAAAGAACAAGTCCCTTCCCAATGTCAGATTCTATTTTTAGACCCTCTCCAGATACTATTGTCAAAAATTCTTTTTTGCCATTGACTTGTTTTGTTACTCTGCATATTATAACCTGTCAAGTCTTTGTAGCTCTTTGTGTAGAAGATCTTGCAGCTCCAGTCGCCCCAATATCAGTTCACACTGTGTTCGGTACTGCGCCATGGGATTTTCTGGAAATGAGGTGTGTAAGGCATTGATGCCTCCAAGAAGTGCACCCCCCTATGTCACCAAAGAGATAAACAAAAAAAATAGGAAGCTATCTTTATTATCCAGCACCAAATTTAAACAGCAGAGACCATTTTATTCCAAATTTTCCCTTAGATATTTTAAAGCTTAAGGTAGCAAACATTTACTGAGTAACAATATTCGCACAAACAATCCTATTAGGTCTGCTCACACAGGTAAAGTTGCTCATGCACATAAAGCAATTATATGATCAAGCCTGCAGTTTACTTGTACCAGTTTATTTTTATTTATACAAAAAATGGAAGGTCCACCTAAGGCTTAAGAACATCATGACTAAAAATGGACATTAGGATTAAAGAAGTTTTCCAAATACCTTGTAAAAATTCTGCCCATGTGAGCAATTTTTATAACCAAAGAAGTTCTGATTGCTAAAAGTTTTCATTAGCTTTGCCTAATTATTTAAATGGAAAGACCTGGGTAGTAAGGCTTGTCAATACAGGGTAAATTGACCAGTAAAAATATTTCTGAATAGCTCCTTAAGAGTAACTATTCAGGAATAATTCCAGGGAGGAAGTGATTTTAATCTGGGACAATTTTGCTGTGCCTTGTGAGAAATGAAGTAGTTTTTATTTGGAACAGAGCATCTGCACAAAGTGATTTGTTCCACAACAAATAATCTAGAATAGCTCTGTAGTTAATTGCTCTTTGGAAAAAAACAAACACACCACAAACCCTCTATTTTGCCACAGATGAGCAAGCATTTACCACTACTGTCTATCTATAAAGCTCAGTGCAACCAATGAACAAAATGCATATCAAGTGCCATGAGAGCAATAGCAAAAGTCAATAGTGTCTCTAGAACCAGAAATCGCTACATATGGCATCACATGGACCACACATTTTCATTTGTGGCAGTATCTCATTCTTCCATTTGAAATTTTAAAATCTTATACTAAAATAAAAAAAAAAACCAAACTGAAAAACACTTCATTCTGGTGGCTAATCAAAGCCCTCTAAAAGTACACAGTGATAAAACTAAGGCTGTCCATGCAACCATGAACGCATCCCACTGAAGTCATCACTTGGATTTTTTTTTTGCATATGACTTCAAGAACGTGATAGCCCTGTTCCACATAGCAGCATTAGTCTGTAGCCATGGAAGACGTTGTTGGAGAACCTCTCTGCCATACTCGTTTCAAGGACTGGAAGGTTCATAGTTAATGAGGCAGTGACTGTAGACAGGAAAGTCCAGTCTGCAGGTTAGGACAGTTAAAGGCAGCCAAGGAGAACTAGATTCTCTCTCTGATGCAAATTTCCAGTTCTTGTGATTCAGAATGAGCCAATTAAGCAAAGGTTTTGAAAGGCAATAAATTTGTAACTGGGATCCTGATGTGGTGTGTGCACAGAAGGAAGCTGCAGTCAACGGGAAATGTACTCCAACACTCACAGTGCTGCTACTCTGAAACTGGGGCCCTAACCATCTCTCATGGGGTATGCTCCAGTGGACAATTTCTTCTGGATCATACATAATGCAGCTCCAGATCACAGAACAGGAGTAGCACCAACCCATCACTTCACAAGGACTGCGTGAAAATAAATGAACTGGTATTTCTGAAGTGCTCAAATACACTGGAAAAGAATTCCACAGAAAAACACATGAAGAAATTGAGAATTCTACCTTTAGAACAGCAGGTAATAAACAAACCATTGAGAAAAACACTGATAAAGGATAGTTGCTTCTGGCTTGAGTATTGTCAACCTGTGGCCTAAGGATCCAATGCAAAAAAAAAAAAGGAATATATGATTACTTTTCTTGGGCTACATGCCCAAGGGGTACAATTATGTCTTGCTTTCACTGACTTTTCAGTGCTTTCCTTGACCATCACAATGAGCTTCTTTTAAAAGTTCTCGTGTGTGTGTGTGTGTATTTGCCTGAAATTTTAAGTGGGATGGGACCGAATTTAAGATAACTATCTGTGAAGCTTCATGCCTGTTCTGGGGCTTACATCTCTTGAGGTATTTGCCCCTCTGAGACTCCGAGATATCATTTTGAGGAGCGGAAGGCAGCCATATGACAAACGCACACACTGTGGAACTGAGGGCAGAGGATCTAGAACAGAGAGAGAAAAAATAAAGTATTACAGGGAAAGTTAGCAGAAAGGAAGGGTGTAAAAATGCCTAAGGATGGGAAGACAAAATGTGAAAATGGAGTAGAAGGAGAAAGATTGGAAAGGGAATTAAGGATTAAAACATGATTGTTATAGGTTTGCCTGACAAGGTTTTGGTAGTTGGGGGGGCTTTATAGGGGTGGCTTCTGTGAGAAGCTGCGAGAAGCTTCCCCCATGTCTGACGAAGCCAGTGCCAGCCAGCTCTAAGACAGACCCACTGCTGGCCAAGGCCAAGCCAATCAGTGACAGTGGTAGCGCCTCTGTGACAACATATTTAAGCAGGGGAAGAAAAAAAAACTCTGGGTGAGATGGCAGTTAGAGACAGGAGTGAGACGATATGAAAAAAACAACTCTGCAGACACCAAGGTCAGTGAAGAAGGAGAGGGGAGGAGGTGCCCGAAATGTCAGAGCAGAGAGCCTTCCCTTGCAACTTGTGATGAAGACCATGGTGAGGCAGGTTGTTCCCCTACAGTCCATGGAGGTCCACAGTGGAGCACATATCCACCTGTAGCCCATGAAAGGGACCCCACACCGGAGCAGGTGGATGCCTGAAGGAAGCTGTGACCCCATGGGGAGCCTGCGCTGGAGCAGGCTCCTGTGAGGACCTGCGGA